CTTCTTCTTCTTCTTCTTCTTCTTCTTCTTCTTCTTCATACTTATGAACCCTCAGATATGCACACACAGCCAATGTTATACTACCAAGGCTAACACCATTTCCCCACGATTTTCTTACAAAGTGATAAGTCCCTTTAAAATTTTTAAGTTTTTAAAATACATAACGAAGCTGTGATACCGACACCAGAAAGAAATACGTAACTCACAGTTATGAATACGTCGAATTGTCCATCGTAGACCATCAGATTTGCGTGAACAGCAAAGGCTCTGAGACGAACTGTAAAGACAAAAGACATGTATGTAAAGCCTACAATTATCCCAATACAACTGGAAGACGAGAAACTATACATTCTTTCTTTCTTCCCTTTTTTCTTCTTTTAAAAACAAAAAACAAAAACGTCATATGCTCAAACATTGACGCTGATTTTTAAACATTTTAACATTTTAAGATCTAACTACTGACCCGAGCCAGCCGTACAGTAAACTGTTGTGAACAAGACTAACTTGTGTTTCGCGCGCTCATATGACCTTATGCAGTTGCGAGCGCCGTAAAACCCCATACTAAACAAACAAAACATTGACGGGCACCGGGTACAGCAGTGTCATCACACAATTGATAATGGCTTCAATGCTTTTGAATCCTCATTAGTTTTAAGAGCAGTCCATAAACTACCCCTTGCTGAGACATGTTTATTTGACCTAGATCTAGATCTAGATCAACGTCGAGGACAAAACACCACTTTGGCAATTCTCCATAACATCAGCCTCTAAAGAAAGTGGATTGTGACTCCTTTGGGGAACAAAAGTCTCAGTATACTAAGCTAGTGAGAGAAGTGAACATTTATCGATCAATCATTGATTGAAAGAGATTGGGGATAGGACAGTATAGTATCTGTAGAAGTGTTACGCCCCAATCGACACAATATTGATCATTTACGGATGGGCCTTGACCCTACCTGAGCTTTAGGCTGACAAAATTCCTTTTTTTCATTTTTGGCGCCATTTTTTTTTTCAATTTGCTTAATCGATAGCCAGATCTGTTACCTTACTTGTGTGGAAAAAAATTCAAAGTGAAACCGTGCCTAGTTTTTTAATAAATTATAATTAGACTTTCAGAAGATAGAATGTATTTTTAAAAAATGGTTGCGCTGACAAAACACCTCTATATCTCGAAATTGCTGTGAATAAGAAAAAGGTGTTTTGTCAGCATACGGCAGCACGTCAAGGGCAAATTTTTTTTACAAATCCTAATTCCCCCATACTCACACACTCAGGAATTGAACTCACGATTTCTGTGTGTGTTATGGTGAGGCGCCTTATCGCTGCAGAACAGACACCGACGTGTCTTAGTGAAGATATTAATGTGTGAAAAATGAATGCTAAAGGTCTCGTAAACTTGTCAGCGCATCTGCGGAAAGGATACTAAAATTGGTCACTTTTAAGCACAAGGGGGCTATCCCGAAAAATGTTGTTTTGAGAAAATCGAAGGTAAAGTATTTACCCCTCGTTCAGTTTCTTTAAAAGACAAGAAGTTTTCTCTATAACCAAATAAATATACACACCAGTGAAACCAAACTTCTCCTACGTGTAGGGCAATGCCCACTTTTGGATTAGGTCAAGATTTCTGGAAATCTCCGAAATTTGGGATAGCCTGCTTGTAATTAACAGCGACTAATTTTACTTGGAGCGAACTGTACATACAGCATGTTAACCCTATCCATACGCCCTGGGGTCATTTTGTACCCCCGGGGTTGTATTCTTCACATTCTAGAACACTTCTAGTACGAAGGTCTCTTTGAAACTATCAGTATTTCTCAAAAATTCATTTTGACAGACTGCTATGCAAAGCGTACGGATCGGATTAACAAGTAAATTTCTTCTTTGGAAAGTGGTGGCACAAAGTTCCCCACGTCGTATGATACGATAGTAAAACACAACGTACGGATAGGGTTAAACATTTTACTCACCCAAATCCCCAGGCCTGTACATCGCTTTGTCTGTCTGGATGACCACAGAAGTGACCACACTGCTGACGTACATGCTCACGGAGCGCTCAAACTTGTAGGAGCTAGAGCCGCGGACAACCAGCTGGCAGTTGGTGCAGTTCATTTCTGTTGGTATCTGAGGACAGTTTCAGGGAGAGTTTTACGGCACTTGTAACACAAATAGGTCGTAATATAATGTGCCGACGATTACAGGTTTATTGGTTTGGTTGTTTGTTTGTTTTTTTAGCTTAGAGAAGCGCATTGACACAATAATTATCATTTGGTTCCGTAGACAGAGAGAAACAACAGAGGGAAAGGACAGAAGTGGGACCCGCCAGAGGTGTCCTTCCACCACCCATAGATTAGAGATATTAAATGGATAGATATATGAATAGATGGATGGATGGATGGATGGATGGATTTTATTTAGATAGATAGATAGATAGATAGATAGATAGATAGATAGATAGATAGATAGATAGAGAGAGCCCGAGATAGATAGAGAGAGAGAAAGCTAGGCAGAGAGAGAGAAAAAGAGAGAGAGAGAAAGAAAGAGAGAGAGAGGGTGTGGGGGAGGGATAAGAGTAGAGATAAAGATATAAAACGTACAACGAGAAGACAGGGCCAGGCAGGGAGTAAGGGGTGGGGGTGGGGCGATTTGGGGGGGGGGCGTGTATAGAAAGACAAGAAGCGAAAAGGAGACATAGCAACGTTCCCTTCTTCTCCCAAACGTCAATCATTCGATATTCGAGATATGTTGAATCGGCCTCTTCAGCGAAATCATTTTGCAAACAAACCCAATACCGCACTAAAAGCAATGTCTGGGAACAGCTGGGTGCAGTGACAAGGCAGTTAACTCTTTAAGGCCATAGAGGACACATTCCGCTTCCCCAGAATTACGAGGTTCTATCTGACATTGTTGGCAGTTTTGAGTTACCAAGACCATGTGGTTAGGCACCAAATGCTCTATTTGCTCTACCAAAATCTAAGAATATTCGGAGTTTATGTCAAGATGTGCAAACAAGTACATTCGAAAAACCTTCACATATTATTGTTAAACTAAAAAAAAAATGACGTCAAATCTTTCAAATCTGGGTATTGAGCAGATTTCAGATAGAGCTTAGTTATTCTGAGGTAGCGATTCGTCCGGTCACCGCTGCAGACCAAAGTATATAATATTTTTGCTGCTCAGTTCTTACCATCGTATACACACCAGAAACATAAATTTGCCTATATTACGATATCTATAAATTATTGCGCGCCTGATTTTTTAAAGTTTCAAATTTATTATAAAAAACAAAACAAACAACAACAACAAAATAGCCAGAAATATAAGTCATATTTGAATAAGGAAGTTATTAAGCCTATTTTCTAAAGTACCCCAAAACAGTAGATATTCAATGAGGTAATCAGATAGAATGTCCTTTTGTGTCTGTAAATATGGTTACACTTCAGCCTCCCCATCAGAGCTGACGACTATGTCTTATTTTCTTTCAAAACATGTCATTACAACGGGAGTACCATTACATCAGTTGGTAATAAGCTTTTCCTCCGAACAGACAATGGCCCTGGTCCGAATCCGTTCAAATCTCAGATTAGGCATCCAAAAATTCTGGTCATTTTGTGGTGATTTCAAGGCTCCTATCCCGTTTCGCACGACCTCATCGGAGACGGACGTAAAATTCGGAGGACATGCCTCTTAACTTGCCCCATAGTCCTGCTGTGGGCGTAAAACCTAGACAATAACATTTCAAAAAAATATTTTTCTAAATCATTTCGCAAACAAACTCAATACTTTACAAAAACACCTTCCGGGAACAGCTGGGTACAGGGACAGGGGAGTTAATCTGAAAGAGAGCACGAAATGAAACCTATCTGATTCTGAGGTGCCCGTGACAATGTCAGAGAAGGGTTAGCGTACGGTCAGTTTCGGTCAGCCTGCCTGTTTTTCACCTTTAACAATAAAAATGATCGCCTTGTCCTTTTGTATCTGCAAACGTGGTACCATCTGGCCCTTTCTCTGTATGTTTTCGACGTTGCCTTATTTTCTCTGGTTCTTTTATTTCTTTCAAGTGTCATGTAAAGTTATTTTTGTTTTCAAATTAATGAATTATATAATAATGTAGATTTTTAAAGACAGAACACAGTGTATCTTACTGTTTGTCTGTTATTATAGTATAACATGTATTTGTTCTGCCCCCAGAAGCTGTATTTTTTTTAACAGGATTGAGTGCTAGGTCAATTATCATGATAAAGTGTTTTACTACTACTACCACTACTACTACTACTACTACTACTACTACTACTACTACTACTACTACTACTAC